GGGGAAGAAGTTTATTGGGCATTCTCGATTTCCGTTTTAGAGCTTCTTTTCTCCCTTTATATTTAATTTCTCACAGGGTCTTTTCTACTAGTTGCTCTGAGTAGCCTCTCGAGATCATTCGTGTTTTGAAATTTTTAATATTCCGGCTTCATATATTCGAACAAAAACTTACATTTTCTATGTATCAACATCACCCAAATACATTTGCGATAAAGCAACGGCGAAAAAGCGTTGATCTCTCCCCAAAACCGTTTTTTTTGGCTACTGACGATTCCAGAGTTCTTTGCGCATAACACGGGTATCCGACTACTGGTAACTCATTCATTCTGATTGGTCGAGATATTTGAATAGTAAGGAACGGCTGCGAAGCGAGGGAAACATGGCGGATGGTTTGCAAGAGTGAAGTTTCGGATATTTAGTCATCACTTATCAAGTGTGGGATTTTCCGAACTCTCAAAATTAGGGAAATGACTAGCAAGGCTTTTGGACCAAATTTATTTTTCAACTCACGGTTTGACTTCTCAAGGCATTTCAAGCAGTGGGTTCACAGAGTGCTCGACAACTTGCGTCAGATCAGATAGCGCGCGGGAGTATCGTGGTGCTTTGTAACAGTCTGGATCTCTTGACGATAGGCTCATATAAGCTTAAATTGCTCGTAAATTTACCAACGATCACAAAAAGGTACCTGACGAGTTTTTTCTCATTTTGCGGCCTTAACTGAAGTGGAAACTAACCTGCTTGCAATAGCTAGATGATTATCGGACTGACCTGAGCGCTATTCAAGCTAACCTGTGTGATATTCGGGCTAACTGGTGAACTATATATAGGCCTTCATCGATAGGGGCTAAAGGTACTCACGAGTGACTACGAGTAACCACGAGTGAGATTACATCGAAAGAAAATGTCAGTGATGTTGTTATGACGTCATTATGAAGTCATTACATGGTTATTTCATCACGATAATGACATATGCACCGAACGGAGGCTATTCAATGGTGTAGTAATCAAAGATTGTAGCAGTGGCTGTGCATTCCTTTACAAATATTGGCTGTTGAGCTTATGTTCTTTCATGCTTATCATGTAACATTTTTCATCTGTGAAAGCGAAGAAAAATCCAAGCGATTTTATTAAACAAAGTGAGGCTCAAAACTTCAAGTGCGCACTTTGTATATATTTTCTGGATGTCCACCAAGCTACAAAACATTCATGCTCAGTTACTTGATGTCGAAAATCACAGCGCCAAACTGCAGCTAGCGCTTTGCAGAATTCATACGCACTTCTTCCAGATCTAACTCATGAATGCGAGACTCGTGATTACTACACCAGTATATAGCCTCAGTTTGGTGGATAGGTCATTTATAGTGATGAAATTACCGTAGAATATTGACTTCATAATGACGTCATAATAACATCGCTGGTGGGTACTTTTAGCCCCTATTGGCCTTCATGTAGTCTGCAGTCTGTAGTCTGCAAATGTCATGCAGCCAACTTTATTTCACTGCATGTTCAGGCGGATTGCTTTCATTAACTTTGCTGATGTTGTTAAAGAAATTGTTAAAAACCAAACTGTCAGCCCAAAATCCAATACAGACGATCACATCTAGTGTCCAATTACTGGTATCCAGTTACAAAAAAGTTGTAATTGGATACCTGTAATTGGCCACTTGGCGCCTTTCAGTTACGTGCACTTAAATTGATGGTTTCTTTCATAATTTTTCTTTGCTGTTTGTAAAACTTATGGAAAATGCCACAGTACTGACGTTTTTTGCTCAAAAGAACACCTAAAATAGGTCTGGAATGTTTATTGTGTTATAAGCAGTCACAAGCAAGAT